GTTTGTTTGCAAACAGAACCCTGATAGATAGCAACTTTTCAAGTCGCTAGATGGGAGTTGAAACGTAGGCCCGAGTCAAAGTAAATGTCCAAATTTCTTACTTTTTCTGAAAACATAACATCCTTCCCATTAACTTTGATATGAATTAATGGTTTTAGATTTTCACAAAATCTTTTATTGCCAAATAATAAGGCAGACAATTTCGAGGGATTTAGTATTAAATTGTGAGAGTTACAGTACCTTAACAATATCAAGATCTGCATTTACTAGCATTATGAACTCCTGGGCATTGTCGCCATTAACATCACACTTCATCAGCGTGTCATCAGATCATGTGAATTCTTGAAGTTATCATGTGAATCCGCAGTGTAAAGTAAGAGAATCAACGGTCCCAGTACTGAGCCTTGAGACTTATGGAATGATTTAAATTCTATGAAGAAGAAAATAATAAGAAGTTCTGTTTTGGTTCTTGGACGCGTACGCCATTGTCTTCTAGAGCAGGTGGATGCGGCGCGCTAAGACAATGCACTTGATCGGGGTTAAAGGATGCATGTTGTGGGTGGTTTGAAAGCACGTTACACAAGTCAAGTCAAGAAAAGGTGTACCTACTTCAAGAGAAAAAATAATTATTCTTATTTACCATATGTCGCTATGGGTTAAACGATCAAGTGGACCCACGTATATGGAAAGGAAGGGGGCGTACTGCTATTACGATTGTGGTACTTAGGGTCGGTGCGGCAATTGTATGTACATTCACGCGGTATTCTTGATACTCTAGATACATATCAAGGGAGATTTAGTTAAATGCATAGGAGATGGTATCCGCAGGTACTTTCGACAGAATGCTTTATTGCGGCTCAGATATCCCTTCGGTCGAATTTGCAGAACTGGAACAGGTGATGCACACCATTTTTTAATTGTGGAATTGTTTAAGGGAGGGAAGAATTGGTGTTATTTGGCTTCTCATAAAAATAGGCAAAAGTGCCTTATTGCGACAAAGCCTTCAATTTCGACCAGTCAACATTGCTCGCCTGTGAGCTTTCAAGGCAATTATAGAAAAATACAGGGTGAAACAATTTCAAGATCGCCTAATGTAGTCCATACAATCTTCAGTTTCATTATATTATATATTATTTAAGACAACTTTTCTGCCAAAGACAAAAATTTCTCAAGAGAGAAAATTTATGTTTTTACATACCTACTTGAAAACCAAAAAAGTCAAATGTCAAACACTTTTTTCTGCTTTTGTATGCACCAAAGTACGCCAATTTCTACGCTATTGGTATAATTCAAGTCACAACAAAACTATGGATCTTTGGAATTCGACATTTTATCATTAACAACCTAGGTATATCTCGGTATAGAGCACTGTGGAAACTATTTGTACACGAATGCCTCAAAAGGAGGCTTATGTTTTTCATGCGTGTGTATGTATACGTATATATATGTATGTGGATGAGAATAGTTCTATTTCACAGAAACGGCTTAAAGTTTTATGAATGGCAGGTTTTAATTGAAAATATCAACTTTGAAAATTCTATTTTATGGGCTGCAGCTGAAACAGCTTGATGGAGTTTGAGTCTCTAGATTTGTCTTGATAGTATTGAGTGATTTTGTAAAATCAAAATCGCAGATTTCAAATCCAAACTTCAATTATGAAATTTTTCCGACCGACACGGGTATTACGTATTTTGAAAAACGACATTGTCAATTTTTTTTGACATTATATTGATTTTTTGTGACATTATGTGTGTTTTTCTACAAGATGTCAATTTAGCAGTAGCTGATGGACACGTTGTGAACTCATTTTGTAGTTTGTACGTGTTGCCGAAACGACATGAGGCTTCAGTTATCAATGTTTGGCTTTGATATGAAGTAAAATCAGCTTCAGAGATGGCATAACTGGATGTAACGGTAATGCATACTTGCGTAGTGAGGATTTTTGTGCTAATAATATGTTTTGATGATAATTCCATCGGATTCTTGCCTCAAATACACTTACTTGAGATACAAAGCTAGAAATTAATTGCGTATTCATTTTTTCTTATCCATTCTGGAAATTACATATGAAAATTTGCTGAATTTAAAAATGAGGGGTTGTGATTTCCCGTAATTCTCCTCAGTTTTTGAAAACAAAAAAAAAAAAAACGTAAAAAATCGTAAATTATAACTTTGAACATAACCTGCTTGAAAGGACAACATATAAATAATTCGTGGGACACAGCTAATATATACACCTCGTTGGCAGCATATTCATGATTTTCTCACACAGAAAATATCACTGATTTTATATACATGCAGACCAATACTCACAATCATCCAGATCCGATCTTGCCATTCAACCTACTTTCTTGTAAGAGATAAAAACTATAGACTACTCGGCTTCACAAAACATATGCAACCAACAATGCGTGTATTGCTTTAGTTGAGCCATTCCTCCATAGATGGACGATCACAGCGATAATAGTGAGCAAACGTGGAATGACTGTTTGCACCCTAAAAACTATGTAGTCTGCAGTATGACATTTTATAGGTATTTTTTGACGTTTTATAGTTTTTTACATAATACCTGTCTTGATAGCACAATTAAAACTTCAATGTTGTATGTATGTTTAGATGTTCTTTTTGAACACCCTCTTCCTCAGAAATGTTGCTAGTAATGTTCAAATAACATTGTATATTAGGGATTATTTCTAAATAGCTTGACATTGTCCCCTAGCAATAAACTCTCAAACTTGTATGCTTGTTATCGTGCCAAATTTTTCCGGTCGATCCGAAGCGTATTTTACATGTATTCCGGCTTGGAAAGGCAAAAAATGTCGGCGAGAAATTACCATATTTATAACAGTCTCCATAACCGTCTATAATAATAATTTGAGGAAATCGCTGCCAATAGACGTTATACACGCATGGTTCAAGTATCCTGTTCACATGTCGTATCTTTTATCTACTTTTATGATATTCCACTTACGATTCATAAAAGATATAGGGAAGTCTATTCTTACAGCGGATAATCCATAAACATTATTATCTCCTCTTCTCTGTCGCACATAACTGGCTGGTCACGAGAAAATGAAAATTATTTAAAGGAACTAAGCCACCAGACTGCCAGTTATTTATGACGAAGTATGAAATAAATGCAGTAAATGTAACATAAAATTATTGGTCATAATTTATAAAACTGCTGGGAATATTTTAAACTCATTTCTGAATGTTCCAGAGCACATCAACTTTAGTATGGGTCACTTCAAAAATTCAATTTTTGCAGAGAACTAGTTTTTGTTTCATATGCTTAACAAATGGCGTCAAGTAGATTAACTCCGTACTGTCCACAATTATTATAACTATATGACGATATATAGAGCATACGCATAAGATATTTTTCTTATTTTTTCATTCATTTTTGAAGCTTGCAGAAGATAGTAAGTAAACATTTTCAAAATCATGACGTGAACAGAGAACATTCTGTTTTGGCCTTCTGATTTTCGATTGCGTTACGGCTTTAACCTCAGAATTTGCATCTTTACTACTCGGCCAAAAATACCCTCCTCTTCTCTCTTATTTTTCTGTACAATATTGACCAATGAGTTACCTTTGGTCATACTATAACACTGAGAGCACCAATAATGGTTTGAAAAATATTTCTATAGGAGCAAAAACTTTGAAAATAATTTCTCTAATCAATCTTATATTTGACAAAAGAGAATATCCCAAGCACATTCAAAAAGAGAATATTAATTCCTGTATGTAAATCCCGTGAAAGATGTGTAATAAAAAATTACAGACCTGTTATCTCCAAAGTATCTAGTGTAATTGAGATATTAAAAGAACAAATGGCATCGTGTATAGATAGATATAAAATTCTTTCAGGTAATCAGTTCGAATTCAGAAGACGTACGAGTATAGTTAAACAAGATGGTATACATCTATTGGTAGATCGTGTATGCCATTACATGGATAAAAAATGTTATGTAAAGTATCTTCATATATTTGGACAAGGCATTCAATACAGTAGATCCTGAAATGCTGCATCAATTATTAGAAATAATAGGTTCCCGTGGAAAAGTACAATCAGTACTAACAGCTTATTTATAGTAAGTGAAAGGACCAATCATGTTACAAGTAGACAATACATTATTATAGTGAAAGAAGATATCTTAAATATGGTGTCTCGCAAGACACAGTACTAGGACCCTTGCTACTTATCATATATGTGGACGATTTGTTCTAAATTGAAACAAAAGTCAAGTATCAATAAAAATCATGGTCATGTCTGAAAACTTCAGTTGTAAAAGATTTTTCACATATATTTAATTGGTTCGAAAACGATAAATAAAAGGTAAGACGTTCTTTGTGTCATTATTGTACTAACACACATCATCACCAAACTACAGTAAACTTATAATCCAAGGTCACTCTAAGAACATCACAATTGAACAAAGTTTATCAATCCAAACTTCGGGACCCTCACAGATCCCCATCTAAAGTAGAATATTCTCATAAGAAAATAAGATATCTCAAACTATAGCTAGTAATATGCTAACATTACCTCAAATAATATACAGCTCACTTATTGAAAGCCATATCTCATAAGGCCATAAAGCGCGGGGTACAGCGGAGAATTTATTTTATCATAACATCTATTACAAAATTGTATTCTGAAGAAGATTTATAATAAGTCCATAACGTATCCGACAACTCAGCTGTTCCACATAACAGATTTTTTTGGATTTTGCATTTTTATATTATACTTACGATGTTTGAAGGTAAACCTATTACATATTTAGACCATAACTACCATAGATGCAATTCTTTGATTTGCTCGAGTTGTATGTCTTCATACGAAGGTATTTTGGACCAAAGGCAAGAATCTGCGTGGAATCCTGAACTACAACTTTTTTAGCTGAAAGAGCTTGCTAATGTAATAACAGCTGTCTTGCAGTGGGAATTATTTGTTTCTAACACAAGTACTCGGTGCCATTAGATATTCTGTTTTTCAGAGCAGTCATAGACCACACAAGGCTAATCAAGCGATGTCCGCAGCTGTTAGGTTTTACAAGGTAATATTTTCGAAATTACTACTACAAAACAGCAGTGCCGCTTTGAAGATTTATTGCAACATTACAGTAGCCGTGGGTACAGTTGAGATGTGATGTAGCTGGTTTACGAGTTGTATTTTTGCAACTTGTGAAGAAAAGTGCGAGCGCCAGTGAACACATCAACTTGCATTACATAGTATCTATAATGAATCTGCAGAGGTGACAGGTTTATCAAGAAATAAATATTTTTCTAGAAAACAATGAGATCGGAGTTCTGGATAAGTTAACTACCCAAAAAGATTCCAGATCTAGCACTAATACATTTTGAAAATCTTTACTCCTTATTTTCACTTCCCTACATTCATGTCAATTATTTTCGTCCGCATGTCGGTCTGCCTGTCTTCTAATCCCTTGTGCGTATATAACTTAGAAAAGTAATGCTTGTATGTTGATGGAATTTTGATACGAGCCTACTATCAAACTACTACTATGCCAAAAATGAAGAGGCTTTCCAGTTTTTGAAAATTGGTCTGTTGGCGGCGAGGCTAGCAAAAAACAAAAAAAAAATCGCTCAAACACCGTTTTTTGGCGTATCAGGTACTCCTGACCATTTTCAGTAGGGGTAAAGAACTGGAAGCTGGAGCTTGTAGGCGGTAGGAATATATTTCAATTTTCAGGCGTGCTTAATATTTATACAGTTTCAACCGTAGTAATTTTGCGTGTCTATTTCACACATTATAGATAATATCTCCATATATTTGTCCGTAAAACTTGAATGATAGAAAAATATTCTCAACACACGCAACTCTTGGTTGCATCGCAGTTTGAGCTACGCGTTGCTGCCGCGGATGGCGAGTATCGAGGTTAGTCATAGCATCGTTTCCTAATTGTATGGGCCTGTTTCACTAACTCGATATATTTAATCTTTATTTTATACATAGACAAACTGATTATCATTTTTTGTCAAGCTTTTGGGGTGTACGAACTTGCACTTGAGTGCCTAAAGTTGGTATAAATAGTTATTCATTCATTGATATGTATTTTTACATTTTATTGACCTTTATTGTTGTGTATTACATTTGTTTACCACACATTCAAATTTGTATGAAGTGGATTTGAATAAAGAGTTAGTATCTTTACTTTGTATCGGTTTGTGAGATCAGAAGCATTCTGCGTATCATCGCCGAGATAATTAAATATACCAATTTAAACGAAAAATATAAGTGTATCTAGGATAAGTTGTAAGAGGCACAGCTTCATATGTACTTTGGTAGCATAAGTAGATCAGCCAGTAGACATCAAGAAGGTCATGCGAATATTAAGAGTTATTAATTATCGCTCGAAAGAGAGAACGTAAATATAATGAGGCCAATATTTTCATAAATAGCGCATAATGTGAAATTTTATAAAAATTCATATAAAAACTGGCTCAATATATGCAAAATGCTTGTAGGTTTTCCGTTCATTTCCTATTTTACATGCTCATATTTGATCATATGCGTAGTTTATTGCTTGCATTCAAGGGCTAACAGTCTTGAGAGATACAGAAAAATGGCTTTTCGGGTAGCGAGAGGTACTGGATGTTCTTGTTGCACTTCCGTATGTTACTCCATTCCAGAAAATGCCTACCCAGTCTGGTGCAGGTCGTCCCATGCCAAAAAGGTGGATATCAGCATAAATGAAACAAAAAGGTTAATAACTGAAAATAATACATGAAATCCACCCCAATCGATAAGCTCCATGAAACTGCCAGCTTTGCCAGCCCAAAGTCCCGTAGAAAGGCGCATGAGTTCACAGAAAGGTGTAAACATACGAATGACGAGCGTCATACTCTGTCCGGAGTTGACACTCAAATCCTGTATTTGACTCTGGATGATCCGTCTGTCAACTACCCGCCCATCTAAGAGATGCCCAGTTGTCCGAGATGTCGATATCGAACAGGCGTAGCGCCAGTAAAAATTAACCAAATAAAATAAGGTCCCAGCTCAGCATAGGAATGATTTTGTACTACACACTATCCATCTCATAATTGTGCCGAGGACCCCTCCTTCTTCTACCCCACAGCTTTGATATTAATGCTCGAGTTATAGTATCATGTCCCATAGCTAGCAGACACACCCGTTAAGCTAAGTTTCCATTGCAACATTCGTTGCTTTATGTGGCAGAAATTTGTATAGCTTACAACAAGTTGCGATTCAAGTGCCAAGCCAGTTTAGTTTTCTGCATGCACCAAATGTCCTGATAGTGTGCAACTTGTTGCGATGCATGCGCTAAAAATTTGTATAGTTTGCATTATTTTGCGAGTTGCGGGTCCCAGGCCAGTTCAGTTTGCAACATTTGCCAGACATGCTGATAGTGTGCAACATCTTGCTGGCCATGCGCGTTTCCATTCATTGTTTCCATCGAAACAGGCTGTAGATAGATGTTGCGCAACATACGCCCGGCATACTTGCCCTCCCAAGGCGGGTGTGGTGGGTCAATTTTAAGGAACATACCTTCTACTATTGACTTTATTGTAATCACTAATTATAAATGAACCGGCCTAATACTATCTTTTCTTCTTCGGTATCATTGGATTAGGAAAAAATTAGGACTATGCTTCTAGGCATTTTTTTCCATCTCTTTTGAATGTAACCTGGAACGCATGTTCCAAATCACATCAATTTAATCGATATAAAGATCTGCGTGGAATTATTCGGTTTCCATTTCAGTACCATGCTATAGAAACAACACGAGGTAGGTCAACTAAACGCAATTACAGACGAGCGTCAACATTTCCGTGCGAACAGCTAGTAATAATTCTGTGTATTTCCAAAGGGAGCGTCAGGTGAACGCGCATCAAATGCGCATGATCTGAGCCTAGCCTTAGTCTGCATTATGAAATGAATGTAAGCAAAATTCTTTTGTTTTAAACATAGGCTTGTCTCCCACTTTATTAATTAGTATCTCCTTAGCTACGTCTATGCGTTTGTTACATGTTAATTATAAAATTGTGAAATTGCTCTGAAATATATGAATATATCTGTCAATTGGGGGCTAACGACCTATTCCAATGTTGTGGTTAATTATAGTGTCTTGCATTTATAATCCGTCTCTAAGATTGTGGCCGCACACTGTTTTACTATTATGAATAACTAAACATATATGCCTCGAAGCAACCATGCGACGTGGAATTTCAATAATTATATGATTTGTGCTTTATACACTTGCTCAGACTTATTTTGCTATAAGTAGACCAGAAACGTTCCTAGCTTGATTTTTTTTAAGCTGATACTGCCGCGAAAGCGCTACTTGAATACATTTTTTATAAAATACTTAGTGTTCAATACGTGTCTAGTAAGTGCCTAGAATTACTAGTATCAAAAAAATTGAGATGAACCTTCCCCACCCCCCTACAACCCCAAAACTCAAGTTTTTTACCTCTAATTTTCTTTTCAAAAATGATCAGCATCCGCTAGAATGTCAAAAAACTAAGTTTGAGAAATTTTTATTCTTATTTGTTTTTGGCCTTTTTGTATAGTGTAGTAGTAACATTGTGTGAAAATTTCATCGCCATCCGAGTGGTACTTCTTACGTTATAGACGGATACAAGATTAGATGTCAGACCGGCAGACAGACAAAATGTCATATAATATCAAAAAAATATAATACTAATACTACTATTTTCGAAAATCTTTGCGATTTCAATACTCCCCTGCCAGTAGGTCTGGGAATTAAAAATACATGTTTGTAGTGCATACAACAGCAGAAGAAGAATAACATATATGTCTTATGTCACTGACTTCTTTAAACATTTAATGTTAAAGAATATTGCTATCTTCATTATGCATTCTTCCAGCTGTTCCTTGTCCATTCAAGAAATATAGTACGCCTGTGATTTTCTGGACAGCGGACTCGAATTTATTTCAGCATTTGTAGAACATGTTGTTATAGTTGATTTACATATACATGAATCGAACCACGAAGAAGAAATTTATACATTTCCTCTTTCGAAAGGGTTGAATCAAATGGTTTAGTGGTGGTGTTTCGGTTTTTATGATATCCGCCCGAGCCCCGCGTTTTCAGCCGTTATTTCCTACGAATGCGTTCACCCCGTTTTTTTTTCATTGTGGAGCTGATCTTTCTGCAGATTTATCACTGAAATTTGCATGGGATTGGCCGGCATTATTTGCGGGACATTTACGCTGCGAAAAGATGGAACTTATTGGATTAGAGGACGTTTACTCTTTGCGTTGTTGGCAGCTACCCCACATACTGGAAAGATGAAAAATAACATCGATAAGACGATGAAATTGCAACTATTATATTGCTTGACGCGAGCTTTTTTTCTAAGGTGTAATAATACTCTGTCGGTCCCTTTGATCTTCGTGTACCAAAATGCTGACCAAATTACCAGGATGAGCATTTACAAAAACTGAGTTCAGAGTTGATGAAAGAAATGTGCATAGCATCACAGATTGTTGCATTACAGAGGCTACTTGTGTAGGATTCATCTGGTGATTGATAAGCAAAACTTCTTAGAGATTCCAGTGTGTTAGAAAACATAGAGGTAGTTTGTGGAAGTAACTGATGAATACGTTTGCCACAAATGCAGAAATTGAAGCATACTTTTACCAGAAATGTGACAAATATCGGAGAAAGTACTAACGAAACATTTGAACTATAATCAGATACAGGGAGATCTACTTATCACTGATAGGGATATGTGCTGTTAAGCAATATGGATTTTCCTTGAAAAGAAAATTTTATTACTTCAAAGGGAAGGACTGTAATCATTCTTGGCAATATAGTCGATCAGTCAAGCGCATCGAAAACTATGGGATGTTTCATAAGTGATTTGAACTATAACCCGTACTCAATTCCGCGCTGTTATCTAAAAACCGCTAAATAAGTTTTTTCTGGATGATAGCTTAGAACATTTTCGATCAACTACTTTTAAACAAAATCGTTTCTAAATATCAACTGGCAAACGCATGGCTGGACAGTATTACAAAAAACTGACAAGTACTGAGAATCAAAGC